CTGCAGGAGTAGAGGGGATGACCCCACAGTGCCCCCGGCACTCCAGTTCTTCCCTTTTGAGAGAGTTAAGACAGCAAGAAATTAATCAATGACATAAACCCTAGAGATGAGAATTCACAGAAAATTTCAAATTTTACAGAGAAAGAAACACAACTCAGTTCTATCAGTGATGGGACCAGAGGCCCAACACATGTTTTTGGTGATAATGTCCCCTCCCTGCCAGGAAGCCATGGGGGAGCAGGCAAGGTGAGGCAGGCCACTCCTTTCACAGAGAACCTGAAGCTGCCAAGTGTTTGCTTCTCCATCTGATGCGTTTCTTGTGTGACCTCAAAGGCTGAGCAGCTCGTACTGTACCATGTCACCTCCCTAGAACCTCTTGATGCTCCTTCACACCTGCCTGAGCAACATGATAGCCAGCTTCTGGGCAGCAGGGTCTGTGCCCAGTGTTGCCCACAAGGTGTTTTCTGTGTCCCCACATTCTTATGTCTTTCAAAATGTCTGAGCCATTCTGGTACCCCTCCCATTTCTTTATTGTTCTACCAGGGCTAGGAAGCTCAGTCTCATATGTGGAAGAGAGGCACAGGCTTTAGTGTCAAACATGTAGATCTAAATTCTAGCTCTGCAAACGCACCCATTCTATGATCTTCAACCAGCAAGAAACTCTGGGGAGTCGTTGTTATCTGTAAAATAGAATCTTAAAAATACCTGTTTTTGCAAATTCTTATGAGGATCAAGTGAGAGGGTAAAGCCAGAGCATACAGTAGGGCGCCTAACACACAGTAAGCATTCAGCAGCGAAGGCTCCTACTATGCTTTTGATGTTTCCTGGCTTACCTCAAGAGAGTGGCTCCAGAGTGGAGCTTGCTGGGAGAGATGGCAGATGCCCTGGATCAGCAACATTGTGAAAGTGCAGACTTAAGCTCTTGGGGCAGCCATTGGCTTCCAGGCTCCCCTCATGTCCCAGAAACCAAGCCATAAGCATTTAACCTCTGCCCTGTGGCAAGGCCCAGGCCTTCTCAGGTCACTGAGTCACTGCTCAAAGGTTTGCCATCAAACTGTTCTAGCCAAGGCAGGGGTCTAGCCAAAGAGTTTTGCCATTACTGCAGGTTCTCTGTCTACTGTGACCCCCTTAGTATGCTCCTATAATACCAAGAACTCTTCATCCTTTGTGACAGCATTTCTTATGTGACATTTGGGAAAATTCTATTTCTTTTCAACTCATCATGCAACACCTTGCAGGTCCTGACACAGGCTCAAAAATTCAGGACACACTACTGAAATGACCAACACCGGATGTGTGGGAGAAGCTACCCATATAAATGGAAGTGGGGTTTCTACTGTAGCTCTTTTACCAGCTCATCTTTGGAGGTTGGTGATAATCTACTCAAGTGCATAACTTTTAAGAATCTCCCTTAAAAGTTCATCTTCAGCCTCTCTTCTTATATGGACATCATATATGATGACTACTCCTGCCTGATGTTGGTCTCCTTGTGCCCCCAAGGCATCATATGTTTCCCTGCCTTACTTCTGAGTATGGCTGTGTGGGACACTCACAATTCCTCTGTCAAACTGGGAACTCCGCAAGGACACCCAGGCCTCTCTTCTGAGTGGCTCTGACATTCCAAGCACTTATGAGCCATGCTTTGCCCCTAAAATACATGCTCTTAGGAGAAGGGACTAAGAGAACTAAGTAGCCTCCCCTTTGCCCCAGGGTTCCCTATGGATGTTTGTCCATCAAACTGCAGCAGCACCTACCAGGTTTCTGCTACACACAGAACAGCCACGCTCTGGCTGCTTAAGCTGGGGTCAGATAGCACCTTGAATCTCACCTCTGCCCTGATCCTCTCCTGAACAGTCAATGTGGAGATCAGCTCTGAGTTACCATTCCAGAGGGCTGTGAGCAAGTGGGACTGGTTCCAGTGGGACTTGGGATCCTGCAGTTCAGCATCCTTGTCTGCTCATCCTCACTCAGGCTTATCTGTGATTTATCTGATGACCTGTCTCACTGTCCATTACTCAGGCCCTGAAAGACCTTCCTCTGTCCTTGCTTTTCATCCATGGGCTCAATGGCAGCACATCTCAGAGCTTAACAAACATCTGTGACGGGGTAAAGATGAACCCAGTTTTAAGTTTTTCTCTCTCTTACTTTCCATGGCCTCCCTCCAACAAAACACATTAAGAACAGGACTGTTCTGTCCCTTCTTTTCTGATTTCCTAAAGCTATCTCTTTCTAAAGACAGATGGAGATGGCCACGCTCATAACTGTTAGATGGTTTCAGTGATCTCTGTATCTCTGGCTTCCAAACCAGCCTAGGAGAGAGTTATGTTACCAGAAGTAAGGATCAAGTTGTGATGGATGATCAGAAGAATCCTGAGCCACTACGAAAACAGGACCCTCCTGAGATCTGCCCCACCTCAAAGCCAAAACTGAACCTCCAGATCTCAGCCACCTCCTCAGTTTGCCACTGAAGGACCAGCCGCGGCAAGCAGAGCCTCAGTCCACGGGGAGCCACTTCTGCATGCAGTTCCACCTGAGCCAGCCACTGGAGCACAATTGGCAGGTCCTACCCCTGCTCTCTGGGGAGCTGGCTCTCCTGTTGGCCTGCCTAGATTTAACTCTCTGTAGCCTTTGTGATGCTGGACAAGGGGGCAAGGGCTGAGATTCGTTGCACAAAACTGAGAAATATGTAGGCTCTTATCAGAAACCCCCATTTAACCTGAGCCCCAATCAAGCACTTTAACGTCAGAGCCTTGATCCAATCAGCTCCCGACAACAGCTGCAGGTGATGCTTCTCCGATACCAGGAAAAGCTGGCAGCCCAGAGGCCCTGATGCCAGGCGATGCTTCCAGCCCTGCCCCCATAGGCAATAGGGAGGGGACTGAGAAGGTGACAAAGCAGGGGGTAGTCAGTCTCCCAGTGGCATGTCCTCTAGACAAACACAGTCTGAGGGCCATACAGAACTACCACATTCCACGTTTCAGTCAGTGGTATCCAGCCCCTCAGTGTTCTAAAGCAAGAGCCGCTCAAGAAACAACCAGGGCCGATCTTCAGTCTGTACCTAACCTTCTCGGTTAAGCCCTGGGAGTTCAGGGAAGTAGAGGCCAGCCCTATTTTACAAAGGCAAATACAATATCTCTCTCTCTCTCTCTCTCTCTCACACACACACACACACACACACACACACACACACACACACACACTTTCAGCCTAATCCAAAGACTATGGGTAGAAAATTTTCTCTCTCTGAAGAGCCAGCTTAGTCAAGACAAAAGGTGGAATGCACTGGATGGGAAGGAGGCCCCTCCTCTCTCTCCTTTGCCTCCTCCTGCAGTTCCACCTGGTGCATCATCCTTAACCAAAGAGAGGACGGAGCTTTGCCTCCTTTCCTCTATCTGCCCCCACAGCCACACCTGGTAGGGTCCTAGTCCCCAGGGTCTTCCTTGCTCCCACACACACACCCGACCAAGCAACAACTACTTAGGCTTAAGTTCTATGGAATCTGAACCTGCTGGTCTCTGGCCCTATTAAAACCACACATCTCCTGACCACCCAGGTCTCAAAAGCTTGCCCTTGCCTTGCTAGAGATTGGATTGAGCCCAGCGGGCTCACCTCAGTTCCAAGGTTAGAGGAGACACATCAGGTCCTTCTTATCAGGAAAAGAGAAAGGCAAGTAGAGGAATATTGCCACCCTCTCCTCTAGAGCTACAGGGGGCACCTTTGTCCAATACCACAAACACACACACTCACATACACAGAGAGAGAGAGAGAGAGAGAGAGAGAGAGAAAGAGAGAACCAGAAGTCAAGGAACAAATCAAAAGAAATAAAAAACAGACCCTCGGGGAGAGAAGGGGGCTGTTGTGGGGACCAGTGTTTCTGTGATTCAGCACTCTGACCACTCCCAGCCCAGCCAGAGTGCTGACTTGGCAGCTGAGAAAGGGTCCTTGCTAAGACCCCCAACCCTCAGGCCTCCAGCAAGCTTTCTCTGCCAGGCCTTTGCAACCCAAAACTCAGGACAAGTCTCAGGAGCCTGAGGGCCATTTCCTTGGATCTGCCTCTTCCCCCAGCCTCATGCCCTCACCGAGCCCAACTAGGAAACAACTCTAAACACTTCCATGAGAGGAGAGGACCACATAGAGGTCTGCTAACCTGAGAATCTCTGTCCACAAGCTACCAACAGGCTCAAACACGCAGCAATGGGCTTTAGGGGGGGTTGCATCCACAGCAGTGAACACCTGCCCCGCAGAGTCCTAGGCCTCTGTGGCAGAGTGGGATGGTGTATGTAGTGGGTAGGCTGAGTACGAACCCAGTCAGCACAGGCTATACACCACCAGGAAGGGCAGGTGAAAGAGGGTGATGGGTAGTAAGGCCAGCTAGGAGCCTAGGAGAGAAGGGGAGCTGTTCCAGAGGGAGTGTGCAGCGTACGGAAACAAGGAAGCCTCTGAGAAGGAGTTGGAACAGGGTGTGAAGGGGGGAACCGTGTAGGATAAACTGGAAGGGAGCTAATGGAGGCCAGCACTAGGCAGGGCGACCAGGTCAAGGGATTGAAAAGATGAGGGAGGGCAAGCAGAGGGGCCACGGGCGAGGCAGGAAAACATAGGTGGAATGGGAGACAGAAAAGTGAGGTGTGGAGGTAAGAAGCATTAGGGCTGGTAGGACTCAAATGATGAGGCTGAGGCAGGGAGGAAAGAGGGAGAGCGAGGAGGAGGAATGGAATATGGGACATTGCCAACCGAGTCTGAAACAGTGTTGGGGTAGAGAGGGATAAAAGAGGGAGAGGGAGACACCGCTAGAATCCGGTGGATTCCGGGCAGGTGGCCGTGCAGACGAAAAAAAAAATAAAAAATAAAAAACAAAAAACACCACAAGGATGTGGCTGAAGGGGGATGGGGCAGGTCGGGGGACGCAGATGGACTGAGAAGGACGGAATCGAAGGGGCGCCGCTCGATAGGCTTCCGCTACCTTGTTCTGCCACCCTACCGAATACCGGCGCTCACCTTACCTCCGGGAGCTCCGGCTCCAGCCCCGGGCGCAGTCCCAGATGTCCGCTGCCGGTGCCGCCACTTCCCCCACGTCCCCTGCAGCGCCTCTCGCCGCCAGCCGCCGCATTAGGGCAGAGACTAGCCCGTGCGCGCCCCCGGGCGGCCAGCGCGTCCCCGACGGCCTGCGTGCGCGTCCCCGAACCCCTCCCTGCTTGCGCGAGGAGCTGGGACCAGGACCCAGCATAACCGAAGGATGCTCAAGTGCCACCGCCAGCGCCCTGAAGAGCAATTCGCAGAGCCAGGGTCTAGGCGCCTTATTTTCTCTCTTGATCTTGGATACTCCTCCTGGAGAGTGGCACTTAGTGTCGCAGGAACTGGAGCCGGAGCTGTCCTGTAAATGACGCCTTTATCAATGAATTCCTAGGGACAGTAATTTGTCTACAGCTTTGGAGGGCCTAGCTCGGCAATGCTCATGATAGACCCTCCAAAAACATCTATTGATAGAAAAATTGTCCGCCCGAAGCTGAAAAGAAAAAAACAAACAAACAAACCTTGAGGGGATTGCAGGATGGGTTTGTTTTAAAACTAAGACTTGTTCCGCCCGGGGTGGGGGAGGGGAGGCTGGGGGTGCGAGGGGACTCAGGGCACTGTCCCAGACTTGAGTTAGAGTGGAAAAAGCCTTGAACTTGGAGACCACACACCCAAATGCTAGTCAATGTTAGTCCTGCCTCAATGGCTGAGCAGGTATAAGCTTGCAAAATGAGCTGTGCTTTGCTGAGATTCCCTCCCCCTTGGTGGGGAGAATCTATTAAGCCTCAGCTAATGTGCACAAGCAGAGACCTGTGCTCAATTAGCACCTCAAAACAGTAGGAAGGTCCAAGGTGGTGAATGAGAATCTTAGTCTTGAAGGAGCCCTTCGAAGCTTCTAATTCAGGCCCTCAGGCAACTCTCCTCTGAGACTCCTGTGCTCACACTCAGGTACAACCTTCAATTGGACCTGAAACCACCTGCCTGCCTGAGCACTACTCCCAGCCTACAGGTTCAGGAAAAGAGGAGATAGAGACCATCCTCCTGCCTCACTCACAGCCTGTGCTCAGTAAAGGCTCACCCACCCAATGACAAAACGTCCTCTCTTCAGCTAGGGGCTTCCAAACCCACAGCTGCAGATGCAAGGCAAAGACTACACCAGAGAGAAGGAAGGGAGGCTTGCTTTAAAAGTGTGGAAGCAAGACTACCCTGAGGTGGGAAAATACTTTCTTCAAGGCTCCCGCATAGACAAACCATCAGGCCACTCACAGTCAACATTTCAGCATCACCCTGGTAGCAGTCCTGAGAATGAGACTTTACCCCACCAGAGCCAGGTGACACCAAGAAGCCAGGCAACCCAACCAGAAGACAGAAAGTCAAGGTCTGGAATACTCTCAAGGGGAGAGCTTGGAAACTGTGGGTGCTGCTCCTGGCCCCTGGTAGGTTCCAGACACCTGATGGACTCTTGAACACTTGATGGACACCTGAAGACTTGGGCGAAGACACTTAAAAACACTCAGATACCTCAGGTCTGTGTGGAGGGCAGGGCTCCCTGACCCCTTTACTAAATGTCCAGTGGTGGCTGGTCCATGGAATAAGAAATTCTTCCATCCTAAGAGGCCCAGTTCCCTGAATCTTACCATATGGATTCCGATAGCAAGCAGGAGGCAGCTATCTCCTGGTGATGTATAATGGCTGTGGCACTACTCTATAGGTACCTGCTGGACTCCAAATGTCATCCTTACCATGTCAGACCTGAAAAATGAGCAATTTGCTTTTTTTTTCTGTTTTGTAAAGATTTATTTACTTAATTTTCTCTGTGTGGGTGTTTTGCTGGCATGTGCTGTGCACCAAGGGAGTGAAGTAACCAAGGAGAGCAGAACAGCAACCTTCTTCCACAGACTTCCAAGGAGGAGTAGGCACAGGCATATTTGTCCATTACGGATGGAGAATTAACTAGGTATGCCCTCTGGGAGAGCAATTTGGCAGGATCACTGAGATTCTAACTCTCCCTGCCGTCAGTGTCACTTTTAAGAATCTGGCTGGAGAGATGGCTCCAAAGTTAAGAGTATTTACTGCTCTTACAGAGAACCAGACTTCAGTTCCCAGCACCTCTGTCAGGAGTCTCACAACCACCTATAATTCTAACCCCCATACATCTGACACCTCTGGCATCTGTGGACACTTCAGATCATGCAGACTAGCATAGGTGAATGCAATCGCGCACACACATACTCAAACACACTCAAATACAAACACACACGTCACATATACACAAATCACTCACATACCCACACAAACACACTCCCACACAAACACACTCCCACACAAACACAC